GCCAGAAAGGAAGGAGACCTCGTCGCATGACATTGAGATAATCGGAAGACTTCATTTTCTTCGAAACGAAACACAACTTCAGACGTCCCGTTGATGTGATGGCAGCCCAGACCATAATACCACCTCCTCTGAAGTTCCGCCTGGAAAAATGAAGCTTCTCTTTCCTAAGATCGTGCCAGTAGGATCGATTTCCGTCTGGACCGTCGCAGTTGAATTTTTCTCATCAGCAAACACGACCTGAAGAAAAAAAACTGAAAAGGCAAGACAGACAAGCAGTAGGGCACCGCTGCTATAAACTAACCTTACTCCAATCGGTTCGGCAACATCTCCTAGCAAAGTCGATTGAGTCGAGTAGATTTCAAGATGCGTTTTCCGTCAGAAACGGTGCCTCCCTCATTTTCCTCCTGAGGATGAACTCAGACTTCATCAAGACACGCCGAACAGTTTCCTCTGAGACGTAAGCTTCAAAGTTGACTTTATCTCCCGACATGACATTGTAGAATTTGATGCTTCTCTCAATGATGCTGATGCTTCTCTCTTCTCTTGGCGCTTATCCCGATCAGAGAGCGGAGGAGGACGCCTAGAGCTCTTCTTAATTCCATATCCTGCAGGTTGCTTGACAAAATTGTTGATCACATGATGACTGCGGCCCAAATCCCGTGCGATTTGACGGTTCGACAGTCCTTGAGTCTTCTTTGCGATTATCTGTCCTTTTTCAAAATCCGATAATGAATGTCCTCTTGCCATAGCCAGGAGAAGGCAGAGTCACAATGATGAGATGAGACAGGTCTATCCAGCAAAAAGGCGAACGCAGGTGACATAAATGTGCAGGTGGTAATTTGTCACCGTTGTTAATTCGCAGAGTGACGCGTTTTCAAATAATAAAGAATGACAAAAAACATGTTTTCTCAACGTTAAGTTTCCGGTGTTGACCATGCAAACAGATATGTATTGCTACCTGCATTTCAATTTGAGACATTTTTTTGAAAAGACCTCATTAAGACGGGGTTTTGTTACATTTTGGTGTCCCAACTATCATTTATGTTGGAGCAGTGGATTAATCTAGATGTAACGTTTTCAGACATTATCGCTGGTCTAGAACTGATGCATTCTGAAGTAAAAGCATTCGGTGGTGATCCGACGAGGGTTACCTTCATGGGTCATTCTCAAGGTGCGAGCATTGCTGTGGTTTTCACTGCTTCCAGGTTACTTTCGAATTCACTGTTTTCTTTTTATTATTTGTGTGCATGGACGCTTGCTTTTTATTGGGCATTTTCGCAAATAATTCGTATCAGATAACAGGAAGATGGAAAAGACTAGTGCTACGTACAAAAGCGCGCCTGGCCCGTCAGTCTGTCTTGATGCAGACTTGATCTATGGTTGTTGTTGTTCAGTTTGTCGTTGTGTTGTTTTGTTGTCTTTTTGTTGTTGGAGTATGTCTCAATAGCATTAAGTGTTCGGGTTATGATGTTTCCGAGGATAGAAATTCGAGCATTACTCCGTGACGAGGTCCGAAGAGGACTGGCCGTACTGCCTCCCTCCCTTTCTAAAACTTCACATGCCCATTCACATGTCATCCTGTCTCGGTATTTGAGTTCTCAAAGTGACAGGTCCCATGCACCGTTGATACCTGTCTTCGTCCGAAAGGCAGAAGCAACCCAGCAGGAACCACACCTTCCCTTGAAACTGCGCTTATTCTACGCCTGCTCAATATGTACGCCATAAGAAGAGCTTTAAAGGCACATTCCGCGATAAAATAAGGCTATGACCTCTCAAATGTGTCGGACGATCCGGAAGGCGATTTTTGAGGCTGCGCTACTTTCAAATGTGAAAAACGGCAAGAACTCCGCTAGAAGCTGACTAATTAGGCCCATGGACACCCCTTAGGCCCATGCCGACCCTCACCGGCTGCTAGCTACTAGCTAGTAGCCACTATGTTATCTTTCTCTATAACATTTCGGACTGCTTTTTCTGCTGCTTTTCTCCGCTAATCAGATACTTAGCACTTTTTTGTGCCTATTTGAGTTCCGTTTCCCGCAATTTGCGGTCGCGAACTGTGCCTTTAAGAAAGCGGTCCAATCCCCTTTGGTAACGCAATACTTTCATAAACTACAGCGTTCGATTACGAAACACAGCAAACAATAGCTCCACGGTGTCATATCATGATCATGGTGGAAGGACAAGACTATAGCGAATGACGGCCTTTCGGTAAGAAAACGCCGAGTAGAAAAAGCGTGAACTTCCTCAAAATTGGCACACAGGATGGCAGCAGTGTCCTATGTTTTTCTATTTATAAGGGCATTATTCTGTCCTCTCAAGAATGCTGCTCCAGCAGAGGGCCATGTAGCTGTGTCAGACGTCAATTTTTCTCATAGCACGTTCATGTTAGAGTTTCTGCTCTCTTGTTCTGACTCCGACCTCGCCTGGCATTTTTTGTACCCCACTCATTTTAGTACAATTGATCCTGATCATCGACTATTCCAACAAGTCATCGCCTTGAGTCCTACAATAAATTACCGTCGCACCGACGACCTCTTAGATCTCACGTGGCAGTTGGCATATGAACTAGGTGTGAGTTGTCCGAGATTTTAGCTTACAGATGAGTGATACTTCACAAACAAGAAATTTTCAGTGCACTTCTTCTCAATTCCGTCCCGGCAGAGGCTCCCCATCGGAGGATGCAAAGGTGGTTGCCTGCCTACGAAAGATAAAAGCATTAGACCTGTTGGCCAGACAGAGGCTATTTGAAGACAGAGATGGAACTTCAATTGATGGGATGCTATATGGGCCACCATTTGCTGGCGAAAATCTGCCGCATGAGGAATTTGTACTTAAGAGTGCGGTGTGTTTTCTTTGTTTTCTTGCACATTGAACTTAAGGGATTTGTAATTGTGAGCAGGGTCTTGACCCCTCAAAGCTGGCATAGGGGGTCAGGCTAAGAAATCCTGAAATGAAGCTCTAATACCTACATTGGAGTCTGCACGTCCGCTGTCCATACAGCTATCTGTACGAGGGATTCTAAACGCTGAAATTATATCGTCTACCCTATATACCTTCTGAATGGACTTGTAATTAATTTACTCTAACTATAAAGTAACTCCCAGTTGAACTACGATGCCCCAACATTGGTACTACTTGA